ACACCAAAACACACATAAACACCTGTGCACTCCATAAGTCACCGCAAACAGTCGCCCATAAATCCAGGATAGACTTGGACACGACAACAGTCTCCTCTGAAATCTGTTTCTTCTTTAGGAAAATGTTGTTAAGAGAAGCTTTTAAAAGGTTTCAGGCCGTTCACCTCGTGTTTCAAAGGAATAAACATTAAACAAGGGCGACATCTGTTTTTATACCAACAAATGCGATTCAGTCTAACAAGCAATGTGTTGACTACATCAAACATTCATTTTTTTCTCTTTCTTCTGTGGCCTGCTTGAATTCTCTCGCTCTCTTTCTCTCTGTCTGGCGCTATGCTAATTAACATTACTGGGAACGCGAATTGCAAAAAGGAGACTGGGATTACTTAGATAAGAATCAACGAACACAAAGCGGCTAAAAGAAAGTAATTTAAATTCTAATAATGCAAAACTGTTAGAACATTCTCACTGATGCATTGCAACAATTTTGCTCTTTACAGTCTTCATAAATCCTATTTATTCTTTTATGGTGCACAAGCTAAGACAGATAGGAACAGAGTTGCCTGTTGGGCTGGATGGGATTTTCTTGCTCACATTTTCCTGGTCTCAGGGTGCAAGGAATGCTGGAATAATATATGGAGTATTGCCACAAGTTTGCATGCAGTATGTGTTATAAAAACTGCAGAGGAACCATAAAGAGACAACGTCAAAACATAACACAAAGTGCACTAATAATACATTTTTCCAATCTTCCCCATCTTTTTATTTTTGATTAATACAATGCTAAATATCTTCAGCTATATCCTGGCCAACACCTCAAACTGCACAGCCTCCCCATCATAGCCTCCTAGCAATTAGCATTAAAACGCTAGCATTAAAACCGAAAACTCCCAGGTAGAGAATGGCTAACTTCCTGCCAAATTGATTTCTACGCTTCATAAAAGGAAATGCTTAGACCTTATTAGATTCTACTAACTATAATAGCTGCATGGAAAATGCGCACTGCTTGTGAAAGGGGATCTATGTCAGAAAGCAGGAGCTAGCAACGTGGCTCTCTTATGACTGCTAACTTGCTAACTTCAGACTGAATTAGAACAGAATTCACTTGATCGTAGATGATTTATAACAATCCCCAGCTTTTCTGCCTCTCCATTGCTGGTTGAAAATTCTCCCTTTGTTTCACCGAATGGCTTGCAAAATCGTCTCCTTCTGCTAATGGTGTGAGCAGTGGCTTGGCTTCCTCAGATGTCACATGGCATTTATGTGGTGCTCATTCACCTCATGGAAGTATAAAGCAGCAGGACTGTGAAGCCACAGGGAGAAATATTCTGCTAGGCTACATAACCCTGTCACAACCCTTTAACATCCCGCTTCCATCAAACCAAACTGAAACCGAACCGGGTGAGATATGGTCTGGGTTACCTGATTTGTCAGATACAACCACAGAGGATCTGAGGAAGGTTGGGGTAGCTGGATGTGCTAAGGTCTCGATGAAGATGGACAGGATGGAGATCTTTAAATAACAGGAAAATCTCACTTGGTGCAGTTATTTATCATAACTATCTGTTGTTAGCATTTTAGAACAATTTAGGAATAACTTCACAACATTCACCAATAGCCTACAACAAAAATGTTAGCTAAAACTAAACCGAGGATCAAAAAAATCAAACATGATCAATTTATATTCTATATACTCTTTCACAAGGTTGAGCAAAATTCGGAATTGTAGAATTGGCTTCCTTTAAATTCATGAGTGTGCATTTGAATTGAATTGGGCACATCCCACAGGAAGTTGGAATGACAGGAAGAGAAATGTATTCAATTGCAATTCAAAGAAATTCAAAACAGGACACACTGGTCAAATTTATTTGGTTAAATATTAAAGGTATAGCGGAGGATCTTTCCGAATTTTAGAGAAGAATCCTCTCCAATTTTTTTTAAAAATGCACATGCGCAACACTCTATTTGCTCCCAAGAGGGAACGCCTATTAAACGTGTGCACGAGAGGCTAGCATTGCTAATCATAGCTTACATTAACTTTTACTAGCAGTGATTTTAAATGGATTTCTCCAAATAGCATGACAAACTTGACCTGTCTAGTAGAATCTTCGCGACTGCGGCATCAGTGGGAAGCCCAACCTGTGCTTTTAGCACACGCCAGCGTGTGAAATATTCACCCAAAATCACTCTGGTCTTGTTTCTATATTCTGCGGCCTTTCTCTTCTTATCACTTCGTATACATTTTTTCTCTTTCGACCCTCAGCCATTTTCAAAGGAATGGCTGAAACCGTAACTCATCACATAATCCACCTGAAAGTGCGCATGCGCAGAAAGCGAAAACTACATAGGGACGAGCACGTACGACGGCCTTACGTAAACATATCACCAGAATGATTGACACTTAGGTGGGCCAATAGTATAGACTACCCACCCGGAAAAAGAAAATCCTCCGCTATACCTTTAATAAATATATAAACTAAATACAATTTAGATCTATAGATCTAACATTTAAACTTCAAGGCATTTTAACCATTTTCAAAACTATCAATCACGGCTTTGAAAAGCAAATGTTTAAGTAGTTAAAAAAATCTAGTTCTAGTTAAACCTACTTCCTTACATTCAAATTTAAATTGGGATTCTGTATCGTGTTTGCTACCTCAATTCAAATTTTGGAATTTAAAAGGCATTCTTAGATCAATTCTGAATGGTGCACAACCATGCTCTTCATTTTACTTTCCATGCATATCATTGCCTCAAGACTGCAGAAGGAGGGCTTTCTAACACGCTCTGGAGTTGATGATCCAGGGGTGGAGAGGCCCCTCTTTTGGCCCCTGTCTCACCCCAATGCCCTCTTCTCCACTCCCCACTACACTGACATCTGCCAGATGGGTCTGCACAGCTGTGGCGGAGCAGGTCACCAGCCGGGCCAAAGGTCTGATCTCGCTCTGGCCTGGAAGGAATCTCTATACAGAAACCTGCCGACATACTCGAAGCCAAACCAGTGGGAACTTCTGCGAAACCCCCCTAATGGTAACTGCATGAAGAAGATTGCATTCTTGCCATGAAACACCATGTCATATTTTATTAGAACACTTGAAAAAGTCTCTGCCAATGCAGCTGGCATAACTTGGCATGTACGAGTGGTGGAATGTCTTGCTGGGTCTCGTGCCAAACTCGCACACCTCACTGAATTAGTGTTTTGGGTGGGTTAAACGCATCAAGCGCCCTTTATTGTCAGTCCAATGGGAGGTCAAAGTGTGAGCTATGATGAACTGCACTTTTATGAGTAAATCTACATGAGTACTCCACCAGACTGACTCTTTTAACAGTTAAACGTCAATGGCAAAACCACATGAAATCCCCATTTGGAGGGGGGCAGATTTGGGGAGGGCAAGAACATTCACAATAGACTCCACAGAGAAATGGCACAATCCCCCCTAAACACTGGACCAAGCGCCGAACTACATTGAAGACTTATGGCTGTTGTTTACTGTGCTTAACCAGAGTCGCTTTCTTAGGGTGACCTTTTTGGAAGATTCAGTTTGAGTTGACCTTTGGAGATTTTCAAAGTGTTCCAGAATTAGATTACGAGAAAAATTGCATTAACAAATTATATCCATGACTCGAATACCTCAGCTTTTCACATGATATCCCTTTAGCCCTATTATGTGAGAGGGGGAGATGTGTCCTTTTTGTTATTCTGCCTTGTTCAAGGTTTTCTGCTGGTTCTATCTCTTGTCATTTACATCAGTTACCATAAATACACCGAGCACCCCCGGGGATTCTTGCGGGCCAAGAAATGCACAATTGACCTACAAATATGGCTCATTCTTTGCCATAACATGCTGGAACAGAAGACGCCTGTCTTTGACAACCATGTGGCTTTTCATTGACCAATTAGAGGTTTTTTTTCACACTCTTGGTCTTACGCTTATTATCATCACTGTTAATATGGATCTACCATCCATGTTAGCAGTGATGATAATGAACATAAGACCAACAGTTCTAGTATTTTAACTCGGGACTTTCCCTTTTCACCCTTTAGAAATCCCCAAGACGCCACTATCTTTTGCAATGCTGTTTAAGTAATAATGAATGCTTTTACATACACCAGAGCTTAGCAGACATAAACCTACAATCAATGCAAATCGGTCCCCTAAACACATCATGTGTGAAATATTGCAAGAAAACAGGCAGAGCATAAATCTCTCAACATTCTCCCAAGAGTGTGGAAGCAACCATTTAGACACATATGTCTTCTTTCTTGAATGCTAAGAGACAGACAAAGACATATGTTGAATCAGTTACCCTGCTTATGTGTACGTTCTGGTGAGGAACCTAAGGATAGATTGTCGAGATCTTCGGAGGACGACATGAGGGTGAGAGTTTGGAGAAACCTAGACCCCCGACCCCCACCTTGCCGAGTCTTTTACAAGCGCTTGATTGATTAATGTTGTTGTCAGGGAACAGAGTCCCCAGAGTAAACCAGAGGGATCCTTTCTGATATGTAGAGGGATTTACAAGTAGCGGCCAGCTTTCAAGTGCTGGGAAGCGATCGCCGGCCAAGGGAAGAGATGAGAAATCCATCAGGAATGCATTTAGTCTGTTCCTCTTTCTTCCCTTCTCTTTTTTCCCCATCCCTCTTTTTGTCTCCCACTAGTTCGGAGTGCAGCTGCTGCTATAATTCTACTGTATTTGCTTTGCGATGTTACATAAAACTATAGGGTTCACAAACTGTCAGGAAGCGTCCCAAAGACTCGGGGTGAAAGTAATAGGGCTCCAACTGACATCTGACCAAGAGTGATGCACTCCCGGAGGTCAAACAATTAGTCTCTGCAGAATCAATAAATATAACAAACACCGCCAATAAACAGAGGCATGTGGATGACAAGAGAAGAAACGACTCCAGCAGGAGGTAAAACAAATGTGATAGTACTCAAACGTAATGCATTCAAGGTCCAGGGGAAATACAACTATCTGTGCAAGTGGGCGTATCTCACCTGTACACGAGCCTCGGTCAGTTTGGTCCTCTGTGCGAGCTCCTCTCTGGTGTAGATGTCGGGGTAGTGTGTCCTCTCGAAGGCCTTCTCGAGCTCCTCCAGCTGCTCTGCCGTGAAGGTGGTACGGCTGCGTCTTTGTTTCCGCTTCAGGGGCAGGTCTGGCTCCGACTCTATATCTGAACCCTCGTCCGTACGATTACCTGTGTGCACAGTTTGGAAATAAGTCTTTGAGTGGCTTCGAATATCAGCACAAGCCTTAAAAAAGAAACCACGTTATTTAAAAAAATGTGATGCATACAGCAATTAAAAACCTCAGCTGTCATCTTTAAGCGGCAGTATTGCGGCACATATGTCAACGGAAAACGACCGGCTATCACGACGATATTAATGCTTCCTTTATCTCGACATGTCAATGGAGCGCTAGATACCGTTTTATTGGGTCTTATTCATATGTGAGAAGTCTTCAGACACATAATCCTGCCACTGAGCCCTGGAGAGGCCTGGGGGACGTAACTGTGAGGGTTAGGGTAATCTACACCAGACACCTTGCTCTAGCACGTCCGCCTTATTCTCTCTTCAGCGGCCTGGGGCTAACTCCTAAGAGCAAGTGTTTGAAATAAGAATGTATGAGACTTCTGGGCCATTGAATCCCTCCCTTTGTGTTTCAAGCTAGTGTTCAAAATATATTACAACATATTTTACATTACTTTTTTTTTTCAGGCATGCAGTCAAAGACAAGTGCAGATCGCAGTTGGCAGTTTGCATTTTAGCCAGAGGAGTATTTCCCCGGCACAAAGACGAACACTACTACGACCGAGCCAAGAGAAGCGTTTGTAAGGAGAGATATGGAGTGTGTTAAGATATATTACTGAAATACATTACCATGATAATTGATTCTAAAATTGCATCATACTTTATTTGTGAGCCACCTCTGTATATCTATTCACGGCAGCAGAAAGCTTGTGAAAGGTCCTGTCAGAAAAATCACACTTCTACATTTGCTTTCTTAAAACGCATGAGTGCTAACAAGCAGCGTAGCTTGAGTCTTGCTCCAGGGCCTATGGTCTTGCATCATCCACGGGGGAAAGACAGAAAAGAAGGGCTTCGAGCTCCTTCCCCCGCAACGCCACAGCTGCCACGACGGAGACAAATCTCCTTTGAGCCATCGTGCGCGCTCTCTGCCCACTGCTGATCAGCAGGTTCCTGCACCCTGGACCACTTCACACGAGTTTTCCTGCATCTCTGTTTCCTTCTGCCAGACCAGAGCCTGATCATCTCTCCCAAACCCCCATCTGCCAGGCCTCTTCTATGGCTGATAGGCTGCCAGGAAAAGAGGTTACAAAAAGGCCTGTGGGAGTGCGAAAGTGTGTGTATATTAGTATGTGCATGGGCGTGCGAGTGTGTCCGTGCGTATCGGCGAATGCATTCTTCTCGGTGCATGTGCAAGTATTGGGTGCACTTGAAACTGACAATAGAGGAAAAACAACCACCTAACGCAATGCAACCATAACAATAAAAAGAACCAAACTGCAGGCGTACAAGTGATTTGGTGCATGCTTGCGTATCCATGCATGCATTCTTCTTGGTGCATGTCAATTTAGGTGAACTAAATACTTGCACAATAGAAGAAGCAACATTTATAGTTATCAATAAAACTCTGCACGTACAAGAATGATAGATAGTGCATACTTGTGTATCAAGAAATGCATTATTTCTGGTACACGTGGATGCACATGAAAATAATCAATATAAAAGACCAAACAATCTAGGGTTTTGTGTATTTACTCATGCATTCTTCTTGGTGCATGTGCAAGTGTATGGTGCAACGACATCAACAACAGAAGAAAAAAACCCTTCCGCAATGCAACCGCTTCAAGACGAACCAAACTGCTGCATTCTCCAGACCGGCTCTGGAGTTTAATTAAACAAGGAATTAGCGGATTATATGGAGACTATCATTACAGACCACTCGAGCAGTCTTCACAGAATGTCTTTTTGTCTCCCCAAGCTCTGGCTCAATGATTCTCAATGGATTACATGCGACCGCAGGACATGAGTCCGCATTCATTAAATCAATTCCTCCATCTTCCCCCATTTAATAAAGATTGATTTTTTTACAACACTGCCTGGCACTCCAGCACACGAAAAAAAAAATCTTGAATATACAAAGTTGAATATGTACATATCCTGGATATCCCTTTGTTGGTTTTCATGAGGATGCGCCAGAGCGATTTGTTGCTAACACACCATGACAACACTTGAGACTGGCGCAGTGGTCTACGGATCACTTTCCAAAGTCACCTCGGCATCCTGAGGGGGAGGGAGAGACGTGCCGCTGTGATTTTTGTTTCATTGCACAGTTTCGCCACATGATTCATGAGGCAAGATTCTGTCAGCGTACCCTGTCCTCACGCCTCTTTGTTTTCTGTCTGTCCACACGTTGGACACATCAAAGACTTTTTGCTTTAACTTACAAACATACTGTAACCGTATCCAATCCCACCGCACGTCTTTTGTTCTGAAATATTTGTTCAAAACACATGTAATCAAGGGGCAAAACTCCGAAACAAAACTCAGGTTGTTGTTGCCGTCTCACAAGCTCTAGCTCAGCCGTCTTGCGAGCCCAAGACTGAAGGTCAACAGGCCCCCTGACAACAGCAAAGGATTATGGTAATGAAACAGATGCTGGCAGAGATAGAGCAGTGAGAGGGGCATGATACAGGCCTCATCTCTGTCCCGAAGTGATCCACTGATTGGGATGCTAGCTTTAATCAGGGGAACAGAAGCCCCAAATGGGTTCAGATAGGTTATGGCAGTCATGTAATGTTCTACAAGCATATGGTCTCTGCTAGCTGCCAATGTAAGCGTGGAGGCTGACTGTTTAAGTGCAAAATGAGATGGCTGAATGTATATGAAAGTTTGAACTCTACTATAAACTAAATTATCACCATTACTTCATAATATATGGCTTTCATTCCTTGTTTAAAATGCACTATAACCACCGTAATCAGGGGACAAAAAAAAAAAAGAAGCAGCAGTTAATTTGCACTTTAAGCCCAAGAAGATGTGAGGTCAATTCACAAGAACTCTTCCCTGTTTTAAAACAATAAGGTACATCCTGACTAATCCTCCACACAATAACCGAGCTGTAATTCTATTTGAGGGTTCTGGGGATATTGATAAAGTCCTCTGCTCATTTATCAGCCAATTAAAGCCTAATTATGTTCCATTCATTCTGTGCTACAGCCTGAATGTTTTTCCTCCAGGGCCCAACGTGATCTTTAACGAAATGTTGACTTTGTGCCGAGTATTTAATTTGCAACAAAATCAGGTGCGTACAGATTGCTCTGACGAATTTTAGATTGTATTTCGTTTAAAAACCAAACCCTTTTGGAGCAGAGGGCTAGAAGAAGATAAACCGTTACAAGAAGCTTCTCTGCTTCTTGGATGCATGAATTACTAATTTTATCCATTTAGGGCCCATTATCTGCAACAGTTAAGCCAACATACACATTTAGCTCAACCGTTTACGTTGGTTTAAAAGGATAGTTCACCCAAAACTTAAAATACTGTCATCATTTGCTCACCCTCATGTTCCAAACCAGTATGCATTTCTTTCTTCTGAGGAATGCAAAAGATATTTTAAAAGGGAATTTGGTTTTAAACAACATTGAATTATTTTGTGTTTGATTGAAAAAAGAAATGCAGAGAGTTTTTTCACATTTTGTGTCAACTATCCCTTTAACAGTAATGTGACCATCTCACAAAAGTCCTATCTATTTAACTGTTGAATAAAAGACTACTGTATGAAATGATCTTTTGTATTGATTTTTTTGTGCTTATATTTCCCATTTTAAGTACAAGTAAATGGAGTTTTTTTGCAGAAATGTCATATAGAAGAACCATTTTGGGTTCTCAAAGAATCTTTCAATGAGCAGTTCTTAAAAGAACCATTTTGATCATCTAAAGAATCTTTTTTCCACTATAAAGAACCTTTTGTCCAATGGAAAGCTTCCATGAATGTTAAAGGTCCATCATGGAACCATCGATGCCAATAAAGAACCTCAGTGTTAAATATCCACCAGAAATTCCTTCTCTTCTCTAAGGGCTTTTAAAAAAGTAATCAGTGAGATAAAGGGATAGTTCACCAAAAAAATTACATTAGCCATTGACTTCCATAGTAGGGAAAAAAATACTATGGAAATGAATGGCTACAGTCAACTGTCTGGTTACCAGCGTTCTTCAAAATATCTTCTTTTGTGTTCAATCGACAGAATAGAGAAACTCATTCTGGTTTGGAACAACATGAGGGTGAGTAAATGATGACAGAATTGTAATTTCTGGGTGAACTATCCTTTTAATACAACAAATTTGATAAACTCCACAAAGAGGCCTGACCGAATACCTAAATAAAAATACAAACAAAATTATTTGGCCTGCTAAAAAAAGAAAAAAAGTTACTTTACTCATTTAGTTGCATGGTCTGATACATCACTGTACCATGTTATATGCCACGGTACCTTTTTGTAAGCGAAACACATTCATGTATAACTTAATCCCAGCCTTCATGATCTATCTATATCGTTTTAATTATATCACCCAACAGCATCAAAAGTGATTTGCGCAGCTCATCTGAAAATAGAGTACGATATATCATTACCAAACCTGAAATCCTAAAAGGATGTCAAAGATCCTTATAGAAAAAAAAAAAAAAAAAGACAATTGAAAAGCACGATTGAGCCAGAATTCAAAGTGCAGCTTTTGACATCATCAGAATCCCAGGAATTAGTCAGGGATGGCGGATAATAAAAAGCCTCCATGACACAGTGAGAAGGAGGTAGAGGCGTCTCCAACCTCATCTGCTAAGATTGCCTTTGAATCAGTATTAGCTCAACATTACGGCAAAATTCTATGCAGCCTTTTTTTTTTATACCGTAACCAATGTCCTCAATATCAGCTGTACCTTGCAAACTACCCAAGACAGAGTGACAAAAACAGACAGGGCTTTTTGCAGTGCGGCATTAGCTCATAATGGCTCATTTTGAAAAGCATATTAGTTCCAGCATAATTACAATCAAGTCTTACGCTTGCTATTTTACAGGCATTCAATAGGACCAGCCTCGGAGCTGCAAATGACACCAGTTGAGTGTAACTGACAACACATCTTCCCCCTTTTCTTCCCTCGGCATCTTCCTAAACC